CCGTGGGCGCTGCCACGAGGGGCGGGCGGGATTTCACTCTGCCCGTGGCCGAGGCACACCCTGCGGCCGGCACCATGCGTCCCTTGAGGGCGGGTCCTGGCTGTGGTGAACGGCGCCACGGTGACCTCGGGTGCAGACGCCTCTCCGACACACCGACCTCCTTTCTCCTGGGCACGCACCGGCCGAGGGTCCCGAGAGCCCCCTTTCCAGCGTCTTGAGGGACCGCCGCTCTCTTTTCCCTGGTGGCCGAGCTCATTTGCCCTCCCAGCCACAGGGTCCGAGGCTTCCCTTTTCTCCGCATCCTCACCAGCTCGTCTCTTTGACAGAAGGCATTTGGTGGCCTTGGGCTGCGTGTCTCTGATGATCAGGGATGTTAGCCATTTGCATGCCTTCTTTTGAGAAATGTCTGTTCGCCGAAACTTTTTTTGAGTTGGGATCTCCTTCTGTCGCCCAGGCCGGAGTGCCGAGGCACGATCACGGCCACCACAGCCCCACCTCCTGGGCTCAGGCAATCCTCCCGCCTCAGCCTCCCGAGTAGCTGGGACTACAGGTGCGTGCCACCACGCCCGGCTAATTTTGTATGATTACACTTTTAGGTGTTTCAGTCCACTGCTGTTACTTATCTTCTTCTCAGTGGTCGCATTGTCACGTTTGGGCTGGGTCCTTCCGTCGTGGCCTAGTCGGCACCAGTGGCTTCTGCGCTGCTTCGTCTGAAAAGATGTCAGGCTAGTCGTCCAGCTTTCCTGTTCCAGGCCTGAAGCAGCCCTTTTTTCAGAGGGGCCCTGGTCTCGTTTACTGGGAGGTTGTTTCGCATTCTCCTTCGTGGATCTGTCATTAAAGTAGCAAGAGGCGTTTGTTGTTGGCTCTCCCGTGACGAACGATGGCCCGTGCCGTGGTGGTCACTCTGCGCTGACAGCGTCTCTGCTCTCCGACAGGGCTGGCGAGCGAGCCGTTCTCCTGGGAGGACTCCTCGTCGTCTGGGCTGGCTTCTTCATCCTGCTCCCGTGGGGAAGCCGGTTCCCCATGGTTCAGTGGGAAGGTAGGCCGCACGGAATTCGGTCAGGCTGGCCCGCTGTTGTCTGGGTGAGGCTCACGCCCGTCCGCCCTGTCTTCCAGACCTGCATAACGGCTCAGCCCCCGGCCCTACGTTTGGGGAGGCTGCCCTCGGCCTCTGGAAGGCTCCCGGAGACCACAGCGAAGCGCCCACCGGCTGCCCCCTCGTGCAGGCCTGGTGCCGCTACACCCCCGTGGTCCACCTGGCGCAGTTCCTCACGGCGGCCGTGCTCATCGGGGTGGGCTACCCGGCCTGCAACGCCATGTCCTACACGCTGTACTCGAAGATCCTGGGGCCGCAGCCACAGGTGAGCAGGGACCCTGACGCCGCAGCCACAGGAAGCACTCTTGCGAGCACCCACATGTCCTGCCCCCGTTCTCTGTTTTTACACCCTGATTGGGGTTTGCTTTTTTTTTAATCACTTTCAGCATTTTATCTTACTTTTCTCAGAGGCAGGGTCTCACTCTGCTGTCCAGGGTGGAGTGCAGTGGCGTGATTAGAGCTCACTGTAGTAGCCTCCAACTGCTGGGCTCAGTGATCTTCCTGCCTCAGCCTCCCAAGTTCCTGGGAATACAGGTGTGCACCATGACGCCAGCTGAGGTTTTGGTAGAGATGGGGGTCTCGCCATGTGGCCCAGGCTGGTCTTCAACACTTGGCCTCAAGCGATGCTCCCCCCTTGACCTTGCAAAGTGCTGGGATTCCTACTTTACTCTTTTGTAACGTGATTTTTTAAAAATGTAGCAATGTGTTGTAAACATTCTTTCATGCTGTTTAATTTTCTTTTTGAGAATCGTACTTAATGGAAATATTATATTGTTTCACGTTCCTACCATTATTTATCCATATTCATTCTCCTGTTATTCTACATTAGATAATTTCCAGGTTTTGCTTCTAACTCTCCTTTTTCGTAGCAATTACTTAAAAGGCCACGAAAAGCCAAGAGTGGCACCGTGTGCCTGTAATCCTGGCACTTTGGGGGTTTTTTTGCTTTTTGTTTTTTAAAACTTTATTTCACATTAAACATGTGGGGTACAATTCAGGATTAGGTCTGCAAGTGGACATCATACAGGAAAAGTGTGGGCCTCCCTTTGGTCCCCACTTCACCTGGTTTGAGATCAGGTACGATCCCAGCACTTTGGGAGGCCAAGGCAGGAGGACTGCTTTAGGCCAGGAGTCTAAGACCAGCCTGAACAGCATAGCAAGACCTCTTCTGTACCAAAAATTTTGAAAGTTGGCCACGCATGGTAGTGTGCACCTGTAGTCCCAGTTACTCGAGAGGCTGAGGCGGGAGGATAGCTTGAACCCAGCGGTACAAGGCTGCAGCGAGCCATGATTGTGCCACTGAACTCCAGCCTGGGTGACAGAGTGAGAGTTCATCTCTCTAAAAAAAAAAAAAAATTCAGTGTCTACACATTAAAAATATTATCTTCCTCTTTAGAAATTAAGCAGATAGCGTACAATGTTCAAAGCAGAAATTAGTGTTTATTGAAACAAGGCAAAGAGGAAAAAAAATTAATGCCTGTGTTTTCAAGCTATAAAGAATTGGTAAATCATTTAGGTAATACTTTCTCTGTTTGCTTTAGCCCAGTGAATTGTATTTTCTTTTTTTTTTTTTGAGTCAGAGTTCTACTCTGTCTCCCAGGCTGGAGTACAGGAGCAAGCTCATGACCACCGCAGCCTCAACCTGCTGGGCTCAGTGGATCCTTACACCTCCACCTTACAAGCAGCTAGAACCACAGGCATGCACTGGCATGCCCCGCTAATTTTTTGGATTCATTGTGGAGACGAGGTCTCATCGTGCTGACCAGGCTGATCTTGAACCATGGGCTCAGGCAGTCCTCTCGCCTTGGCCTCCCAAAGTGCTGGGTTGACAGGCGTGGGCCACTGCGCCCGACTGATTATATTTTCGATTTTTCAAAAGTTCAGAATGAAAGCATACTAACTACAAAAGCAATTAGTGGCACAGTGCAAGTCCTTGATGGACATGCATGACAGGACATGGAGATCCCCCAGCCCCCGCGCCAGTGGGCCGGGAGCTGCCAGCCGCATCTCTATGGGTAGTCAAGCGATCATACCCATGTCTTCTTTTTATTTTTATTTATTTATTTATTTTTGAGTTGGAGTCTCACTCTGTTGCCCAGACTGGAGTGCAGTGGCTGCTCCCGGCCACCGCAGCCTCGGCCTGCTGGGCTCCGGCCATCCTTCCACCTCAGCCTTCCCAGTAGCTGGAACTCAGGCGCGCGCTACCATGCCCGACTGATTTTTTGATTTATTGTAGAGACGAGGTCTTGCCAACTTGCCCGGGCGGGTCTCGACCCCGCGGGCTCAAGCAGTCCACTCACCTCAGCCTCCCAAGGCGCGGGATTACAGGCTGAGCCACTGAGCCCGGTGGTCCATGTCTTCTTTTTAAAGATAAAACATTATATCACATGAATATGTGTTTTTGCATCCTAGTGTTGTTTTGACTTGATATGTTATAACTTTCTTTCCATGTCCATGCATTTTTTTTAGTAGGATCTCACTCTTGCCCAGGCTGGAGTGCAGTGGCACAGGCCCAGCTCACCACAGCCTCAGCCTCCCGGGCTCAGGCGATCCTCTCGCCTCAGCCTCCTGAGCAGTGGGACCACAGGCACCTGCCGCCACGTCTGGCTCATGTTTGCAATCTTTTTGGCCAAGGCGAGTTCTTGCTCTGTTGCAGTCCCCCAGTTCTGAGATGACACGTGAGCCACCGAGCCACCAGGCCTGCCTCTTTTTTATTCTACGATCCCACCCCATACGACTCTTTATTCTTTTGAAAGCTGCTTTGCATTCCAGGCTTCAAGTTGAGCACAACCCACTGACTTGGCCGACCCTCGGTGTCTGGGCTGTTTTCACCTTGGGGCTGTTAACGCTCATGCTTTTCCAGCCCTTGAGCCAAGAGGAAAAAAGTCGTCCCCCTTCCCGCCATCCAGCAGACGGAGGCCGTGGCTCTGGG